ATATATATATATATATATAAATATATATATACATACATACATACATACATACACACACACACAGACATTTTAAACCTTCCCACACCCTTGCAATATTCTAAACAATGTTTCTAAACTCTGAACGCTCTAAAAGAGCACAGAATGTCATGATTTCCGCTCTCTGCCTCCGTTGCTTTCAGCCACCTGCAAGCGCTCTTGGCCACGCCAACTTCTCCACTCTGCACGGAGATCAGCTGGAAGCTTATCTTACAGTGTGGGCTGCACAGAGGTGCAGCAGGTGTTAAACAATTTTGAATAATTTATTTCAAATAAAAATTCCATGCCAATCGTGCGGCTCATCCATCTATGAGCCAGTTGTGTGTCGTGTCCAATCTTATTTTGAAAAACCCCGATAAAGCGAGTCGGCGAAAAATGAACCGCAAAGTAATGAGGGACTACTGTATTCTGATTTGTGTTTGGGAACGATGTGTAGCTCAGAGGGCATATAGTTTTTTGACTGCATGCATGCATCACACGCACACACGTATGGATGTGCTTAATAATGCTGGAGATAAATAAATGTCAAGATACAAAAAAAAAGCGAGTCTAGGACTCTGTCAACAGCGAGTCAAAACCCCTTAACGGCTGCACCAGTGATTCACAATGAATCATTTTACATATAGTATTATTTTAATGCACATCTACACTGATCTTTTCAGCACCTCAGATCTGCCACAATTAGGAAATTATAAGTATGAACGAAACTACAGAGGTCAACTTAACTGCTTGAGTTTTAGAGTCCTGGTGCTGTACTTTGTGGCAGATTGTAAAATTTTATGTGAGAATAAAACATTAAGGGTTTGTCACATCTGCCAGTAAAAAAGCCACTGGTCTTTTACTTTTATATCCTTTAAATATAAATGCGTTTTAAAAACTTGTACCTTAAAGTTTTTGTTCCTTAAAATGTTTAGATGTTTCTGTCCACTCATTCAATTAAAGATATAAATATATATTTAAAAACAACACTGGCCTGAGTGCCAGCTCATAATTATTGATGGGAAAAAAAAAGTTTAGGCTACCAAGCTCTGATTTGTGTCATAACTTGGCTTTTAGGTAAAAACATTTAAGGATCTCCCTTTTATTTGAACAAGTTTAGAGATTTTATCCAAAAATTCAAAAATGATTGAAGTATAATTCTAGGAAAGGAGGTTCACTGAGAGCGATGAAGCGCTACAAGACTCACAAGGAAGGATTTTATCAACACTTTCCTCAAGTTAATCAAGACAAAGTCAGTCCTATCAAAGCATGACAGACATGACAAAGGGACAGATTCTATCAAAGCATGACAGACATGACAAAGGGAAAGATTCTAAACCACAAATTTGCACACTGGCCAGGATTTTTAATAAAATACTAGAAAGCTGCTAAACCTCCAGATCTAAATCAGCAGGCTAAAACAGCCGTCACAGATGAGAGTGCATCCTGTTTAAACTGGGTTAAAAAAAAAACAACGGCATGCTTTAAAATTATGTGTCAAGTTGAGAGTTTGTGGTTAGACAGAAACTAAACGGAACAAAGAAGAAGACCCCAGTTGATAAAGACTGATTTTTCCTGTCTTCAAGCAAGTTGTAATTGCAATTTCATATTTACATTTTATCAGCTGTCTTTGGATCTACGGTATTTACCGTAGATAACGAGAGTTGCTGTTTTTTTTTCTTCTTGCAATCAGATCTGTTAGCTTCAGCAGATTTTCTGCTGAGGTTAGAACCTTAAAAACACCACCTGTGTCGTATTTCTATATTTAAAAAGTGTACAAAATAAACAGAATAATTGATTTTTAACGATACAAACTGGGATATAATTTCCAGGTCACATGTTGGGATCATTTTTCCACACTGTTGCAGGATGCATACCTCTTCCAGGTTGTCCCAAGACTCAGCTGCATTCTGATCAGCAGGAATTTCAGGAAGGTGAAGCTGAATTTGCCTGTCCGATATCAATTCCTCTCCAACATCTTCGACTGTGTGGCAGCTGGGTGGGCTCGTGGCAGGCGGTGCTGCAGAGGTGGTCTGAGGCGCTGGGTTGGAGTGCAAAAGCAGGAAATCCTGTGCAGCGGCTGACGCTCTGTTCCTGACCGGCTTGACTAGAGCTTCCAGAGCCTCGGCGTCTTCAGGGCGGACTCGACTGCACAACTTCTCCATCTCTCTAAGGTTAGCTCTCAGCTGCTGCAGAGGGACAAAGAAAAGGCAGATTTCTCTGTGTAAACTGTTCTCTTATAAAGATTTCATTTCAGAATGAACAAGCATAATTAATTAAATGCCTAGCATTAGTTGAAGTTAATGGTTCATGGTTACATATCCAGATTTGTACGGTGCTTTATCTGTGTGCAGATTGTGTGTGTGTGTGTGTGAGAGGTGATGAGAGCTTAATAAGGTTTAGATATGAGGCTGGGGAACCCGAGAAATGCCCTGAGGGTGACAGGAGGATTACATCGCAGCCATCAGGCCTCCAGGCCGCGGCACGACCTGAGCTCAGGGGGTCAATGTGCTGCCGATAAAACGGTCCTTTAATTACAGAACATGAATAAACATACATCCACACTCATGTCCTCACATAAATAAAACTTCAAAACACACTGATTAACACAGAGGCAGACACGTCAGGCGCCTGTCATCCTGGAAATGAACCTCGACTGTAATCTGAACACACACACTCAAATGACATACAGTAGTCCCTCGCTAATAAGTGGTTTGTTTTTCGCGGACTCGCTCTATCGCGGTATTTTAAAACAAGATTGGACAGGACACACAATTATCTGAATGATGGATGAGCCGCATGATCAGCATGAATTTTTTTTAATTTAAAATAAATTGTTTAAAATTATTTAGCACCTCCTGCACCTGTGTGCAGCCCACAGCTGCAGGAGAAGCTTCCTCCTGCAGTGTGTCATATCACCGCTCTGCAGTGGAGAAATGGGCGTGGTCGGGAGCGCTGGCAGAGAGCAGCGGAAACAGAGAGCTGAAATCATTTCATTCTGTGCTCTTTTAGAACGTTTAGACTTTAGAAACATTGTTTAGAATATTGTAAGAGTTTGGGAAGGGTTTAAAATGCTTTTATATAAATATATATATATATATATATATATATATATATATATATATATATATATATATGTATAATAAACTACTACTTACTACTATTCCTACTTTGCAGTTTTTCCACTTATTGCGGGGCTTCAGGGTACGGATTCCCAGTGATAAACGAGGGACTACTGTAGTTGATATTGCAGAAAAATAAAACATAATAAGACAAACATCTGGCGGCACAGTGACTCAGTTGGTAGAGCTGTTGCCAGGGGACCTTTCTGGGTGGAGTGCATGCATGTTAGGCTGATTGGTAACTCTAAATTGTCCCTAGGTGTGAGTGAGAGAGTGAATTGTTGTTTATCTCGTTTGTCTCTGTGTCCCTGTGATGGACTGGAGACCTGTCCAGGGTGTCCCCCGCCTCTGACACAGTGATAGCTGGACATGGGCACCAGCGATCCCTGCGATCCGAAAAGGAAGAAGCGGATAAAAGATAATGGATGGATGAATGGATGGATGGATGGATGGATGGATGGATGGATGGATGGAAGGAAGACAGACATCCTGTGCCTCAGAGCTTCTCGTGTGTCTCATAGTTTTTGCTTATATGGTTAGGGTGTGGCCTCTGTCTATCTCCTGGGTGCTTCTTTGGTGCTGGAGAAGTGGCAGAACATGTCAAAGGGTGAATGACTGCAGACTGTTCTTTCTGGAGGGACAGTCAAAGAAAAGGTGGACAAACAAACATAAATATACAAAGGCAGATGTCAAATTTAATAATCGTCTGAGTAAGGACAGAAAAAAGAACTGTCCACCAACCAATTCATTGGTTTATCTATGGGACATAAAGACATTTATGAACATTACAAGCGAGAGCAACAAACCCCAACTCTGAATTAACGCAATGAAGACATGGGAAAGCACTCTATGTGCGCCCCTGGGGACTGTGGGGTAATGGTGAGAGGATAGGTGTGCGCCTGTTCGGAGTTATTTCACCTTCAGAGACATGGTGGCTTCCAGGCAACAACATCCCTCGAGGCATTTCACACAGACCATGTGAACAAGGAGGCAAGTGCTCAACACACACATGAGATTGTCTACTTGAGTTTCAGTAGAAGCCCCTTCCATGCCATGATTTTGTTTTTAAGAGTAAAATGTGTTGTGAGAAATGGCAACTTCTTATATGTGCAATTCACTCATGCAATGTTTCAGAAAAAACGATTCTCCTTGCTTAGATGCTGGATAGACCCCTCCTCTCTTTAACTACAGAAGCAAACTATCTCCAGACGCTCAACTATCTAAAAGTTTGATTCCTCAGACCACAGGGCAATTTTCAACTGTACTCCATTGATCTTAAAAATACTGAGTATTAAATAGGCTTTTGCATCTACAGTGGCTTGAAAAAAAGCACCATACCCCTTGAACATACAGGTATGCGCTTTTTCCACATTATACTCACAAACTTCAAATGATTTTGGAGGGTTTTATGCGAGAGGTGAAGTGGAATGAAACAATACATGATTTTCAAAAGGTTTAACAAATAAAAATCAGAAAAGTGCAGCTTGTGCATGTATTTAACCACCCTCAGACAATATTGTTGGATACACTGAAACAGTTATAGGCAAACATCTTGTGTAATGAGTAATGCTTAGAGTATGTTTTATGAATGACTCAGGTACTACCACACCAAACTTTAGCTCAATATCAGTAAAATTGACTGACTTAAAGCTATTTTTGTGTTTTGTAAGGTCAGAAGGTTGAACTCCCTGAATTTGAAGTGACTTTAAAACTTAATCAGCTGTAGATGTCCATTCTCTGAATACTTTCATTAAAAAATCAGTGGTTCATGAAATAATTTGCTAATACATCAAACACGGGCAACAACATTATTGCTGTGTCACCTTCAGAGGTATTTACAGAGAGCTTTCTGTTCAGGCGGTAAGTCCCATCAATCTTTCGATGTTTTCTTTAGTTTATGGAGTACTGGGATATACCTGAACAGTTCTGCTGGCATTAATGTGCTCCTGATGGAGGCGGTCCCACTGTTGGCTCTGCTGATACTGTGAACATGAAAGAACAAGTATTACTTATTCACCTGAGCTCTGCATGTAACCATGTGGAAGTGATGGTGCAAATTTCCGCCATCACCTTCAGTATGTTGGTGTGGTGTTTCTGCAGCCTCTCCAGGTCCGTGGGTAGAGCCACTTTAATGAATTTGTAGATCGGAGCCTCCAGGCGCCTCAGTGTCAGCTTGTTGCCTTCGTCTGCCATGTGTCCTGCTGAGCGGTCACAGCCAACACCTCTGTGTAACTTGAGCGCTGCACCTGCTCAGCTTTATCTCACCGTGCCCACACACTGTAAATACAAGCAGAGCTTCGCTTTTTTATTAAATATACAAATAATATTTATTAAAGCCTTTGACACACGCAGTCCACACTTCTAAAACTGGATCCTTGAAAGGATTAAGTACCGTAATATATTTATGTATTTACCAACATCCCTCTAGAACTTAAATGATATAAAACAGTCCAACTGATCTGTAGTAGAACACCTGTACTTGATTCACAAGTTAAGAATACATTTTCTTTACAAATAATGACTTTTACTCATATTTCTCTTATTTTGTAGTTTTTCAGACAAAACAATTTCCTTGCGATTTGACGGATTAATCAACAACACTGTACTGTAGATGTTTTTACAACTTGTATGAAGGTAGCAGAACACTCAAAAGATTTTGATGCTGTCGAGCAAAAACCTTGCATCTCCATTTTTACCATATTTGCATAAATTCAACTCCATTGGTCACTTTTCACATGTGTTTGTTAGTGTGTTTTTTTTAATGATGTTAACCAACTAAAAATCTACAAAAGAGCTTGTGAACATGCAACACACTTTACGAAACTGGAAAAGAAACTTGTAATTTCTTGAAAAGTTGATTTCAGAGATACAAGGTCTCTACTCAACAGCAACAATTTATTTGATTGTGAATGAACATTTCTTGAATATTAATATTCAACTAAGTAAAAGGGATTTTGACTGGGATTAATTAGATTTTTTAAGGGACTGTTGCTGGTTAATTTTGGTTGTTTCTTCTTCTCAGCCTTCAAAGATAAAATACAATAAGCGTTCCGATAAATTGAGTTTAGAGCTGGTAAAAGTGCACATAATCTTGCCTTGTGAAAGCAGAGTATTGTTTCATGAATCACATTTTGTATCAACACACAGGAGAAGGTTCTGATGAACAGAAATTGATACCACTGTTCTTGTTATCTTTCACAACTTTCAAATGTTAAATACGATCTCATGTTCAAACGGTATGGAAAATATGTAGCTAGAAACGCAATATTTAGAAGTCTCGACTTTTCTTTACCTCTTTACAAGTTTCAGTTTGGATATGGAGGCGAAGGAACATGAATGCTGTCGGCCGAACAGAAAGTGAAATTACTGAAACACGTCCAGGTCAACAATCGAGCTTAAATTTAAAGACTAGAATCATAATTTAGCAAAAGAAGTTTCGTGTTGTTACAACGGGAGATAAAAATACTAATAGTGTGAAGTCTACTTTTTAAAAGAGATAGCAGAACATTTAACCGAATGCTACGACAGTGCTGCTGCTGAAAAACAAACTTAAACACTTACCAGCGATATCACCGCTACAATATGATTAACAAATGCTAAACTCGCATGTAAGCCTCCATACCGGTGAAGAAAATAATCTATGGCCACATTTAGTTGGGTTAAAACCAGTTTCACTAATATTTTTTACAGAAAAGTTGTTTGTAAACAACTATGCCTAGTGCGTCTACGAATAGGTTCCGATTGCAAACAGCATTCACAAAACATAGTTCCTCACCATGCTTTTCTGCCTTTTTAAAATCTTTTTTTTTCTTCCAATTTTTTTATTTTTCTTTGTCTTTTAAATAAATAAATAAATGATGTAACAGTTGTTTATTTTTAGATTTGTTTACTCAAGCTACTTAAGTACAGTGCTCTTTTTTAATGAATATCAAATAACGTTTTATTGAAATAAATAATTTGTGCTGAATAAATATGCATTTTAGACATTCAAAAGGTATCACAAACTGAATGTCTATATAATAATAATTATGATGATGATGATGATGATGATTATGATGATGACGTAGTAATAATAATTTAGTAAAAAAAATGTAAATGACTAAAAATATTGAAGAACTCTAACGATAGAAAAATATAATTTACAAATAAAAAGAGACCTTATTGATAATAATATGTTAACATTTAGATAATAAAATGTTAGCATTTAAAAATGAAAGAGAAATATGACGAAAACAGCACAGTTATTGTTCAACCAATCAAACAAGTGGATTTGATAAAGCTTTATGTTACTGGCCCAATAGGTATTAATACTATCAATGGAATGACGTCATGTGTTATTTAAATAAAGTAAAATAAAGTAAACCAACAGCACTTTTAAGTTTGGGTGGCTATATGAATTACCTTTTTATTTCCTTATATTTTATTCTGCTTTATATTTATAAAACCACCTGTTGATGTCAGTGAGTTTTGGTCTGAAGTATTGTTTGATTTTTGTTATTATCTCCGGGTAGTGTTAAAGTTTTATGTTTAATAATTTTGTTGGACTCATTTTCTCAGTTTTAATTTCTTTGAGTTAGTCTTCTAGTTTTGACGCCTTGTTGTTTCAAGATATTTTTGTATTAGTTTTCCTTCGTTGTGTTGTTCTAGTTTTCCTTCCTGCTTTTGTTTTTTACATTCAATCTTGCTTTTTTTTTAGCTCTTGTTGTTGGACATCAGTTCAGTGTTCGTCACTTTTACATCATTCATTTATTCTTCTCTCAGTATAATTTTGCTTAGGGTCATACGTTTTCATTTCTTATTTTTTTTCCCACAGTTTGCCATTTTTAAATCTCATTTAAGCTTTTTGTTTGTATTACAGGTCTCTCTTGAAAATGAATCCTCATGACTCAATGAGACTAAGTTGCATAAATAAAGGTTGAAAAGAAATTTCCATAAAGATGATTGTTTCTTTTTCTCCATTACTCCTTTTTCTTTCGCTCAGCTTTCTGATCTAGTCCTGTGTTTTGATCCCCTTCTACACAAACATTTGAAAATGGTTGAATACTTTATTCAGTTTTACGACCTATTATTTATGCCACTCCATTAAAAACAAAAAGTATATCAAACTCCAGCTCTAAATGAAAAAAGCTGTTCTTTTTAGACCACAAACTACTACCTGATCAAAATTATAGTATTCATAAAACAAATCATGTGTAACTTTTAACTTATAACTTTACAAAACATTATCAAGGTGAGAATAAAATGTCAAAATGATCAAAGTTCATGTACTACAATAATCCAGGTAAAAACCTGGAATCCTGAGCATGAACTCTGGCCATGGCTTCCTCAAAGGAGTTGACGGGGGAGAGGGTGGTCCCCAGAAACCATCTTATCACCAGCAAACTGGATGGTCCACTATCGGAGTGTGCTGCTTGGGACTGAGTTTTTTGTGGATGAAGTCATTTGGATGAACGACGAAACGTCTCAACAAAAAAAGAAAACATCCAGATGAACTGACTGAACTTTGTTGGCTACATAAATTTACAAAAAGGGATATCTCTTAGTGGTTAATTATTATTTCTTGCTGTAGGTGTGTGTCATCTATCAAATGTACAACCTCACAGTTACCAAACTTTGGACTTTAAAAGTGATTAAAACATTCACAGTTTGATTCTTACATTCACTGAGAGTCCAATGCCAAGAAGCGGCAACATCCGAACCATTTCCAATCAGGTCACTACCACATGTGAGACTTTAGAAAGAATAAATGTGTCTTTTAAAAGATATCATTTTGTGGAAAGTAACATTAGGTATGATATTTTTGTCTGTTGTGTTTGGAAAGCAGAGAGAAAGAGAACGTGGGGTTCCCCCTCCTCTACTTTGAGCTCAGTCTGTGTGAGTGGGTCTATCGCATGTTTCCACTTCTCTTCTTCAGCACCTTTTACCTTTGGCATTTAGGCCAACCCCCACACACACTCAGCGGATGCTCCACGCGAGGGGCCACAGTAAAACACAGTCCCCAGCTACAGGGATTTCCCCCCTGCTGTTGCACACTGTCATGCAGCAAATGTGCCGTATGTGCATCTCTGCTTGTGGTGTGTGTGTGTTCTGTCCACTTTCAGGGGACTCCCAGACTTGCAGACTGAGGGGAAGGAACAAAACTGACAGTGAAAGTTTAAATAGCAAATCATCAAAAACTGTCTAACCTCCTGTTTCGGCTGAGCTTGTGTCAGAGGGAGCAGGAGATTATGTGTGTTTGTGTGTGCGTTTTTGTTTCAGGTTACCTTGTAGGGACCAATTTTACAAAAAAAATCCTACTACATTGTGAGGATCAACTGCTCTTTATGGGGACCAAAGCCAGGTCCCCATAAGGATAAGTCTTGTTGGGGGATTAGGGGTTAGGTTTAGAACTAAGGTGTGAATTGCAGATGGGTTAGGGTTAGACAAATACTAGTAATGGTTAGATTTAGGGTAAGGGTCAGAATTAGGCTATAGAAAATGAATGGAAGTCTATTTAAAGCCCCCCAAAAAGTACATTTACAAGAACGTGCGTGTGTGTGTGTGTGTGTGGTTATTTGCAAGTGCAAATATCAGCTATCTGGAGCAGCCTGGGGCACTTCCAGCAGGAATATCAGAATATTTATATCCTCCAGAATAACTGTGTCATTCATTATTGACAGTAGTGCTCGTTGTAAAAACTAAAATTTGAGAATCTGTTAACTCAGTTTACTGAACTGTGCACATGAATTCTAAATTCGTCACGTCACGTTTGTTAAACTGTGCGCGTTGCAGTACTAACAGGCATCATTGTGTTTGAGAGCATCAGGGTTTGGCTTAAGGACAAATTCTCATTCTCAACGTCTTTAACTTCTAAACAAGCTGTCAAATCACCGTAAACTACAAACATGAAAACTGCAAAAACGTAGACAATGATCATAAAGTCTAATTTCATTCAAAACAGTTTGTATTCTGAACTGTAAACGTGTTCTGCAACCTTCAATAATTTAAAAAGAAAGTTTGAATAAAAAACAAAACTTTTATTATTTAATTAATTAACCTTTATTTAACCAGGCAAATCCCATTGAGATCACTGATCTCTTTTGCAAGGGAGGCCTGGGCCTGAATATAAACCTTCTACTCTGCAAATGAAGACATTTCGCTTTCCATTTGGGTTTCCCTCCCAGATGAGAGGCTTGATCATTTTATCAACCAATTCATCAATTTATCAGTCCAGTTTTTATTTTTTACCTTTTTTTTGATTGACCTGGACGACTGAGACTCTCCACATGCTTCATTAAAGAAACATGGTGATAAAATTTGTATAAAATTATAACAATGTGCATATTTCTAAATTAAGTGTATGAACGATATTAAAAAGTGATACAAATGTCTGATTTAAAAATGTCTGGTGTAGTTTACGTGAAAACACACTGATGTTGTTGAATATTTCAGCCTGATTTATCAATTTGCAGACGGTCCCTAAATTGTTGTCTCACTTCCAGTGCTTGGGTCTCTCTGTCCACACTGAAAACAAAACTAAACACAACACCTGCTGCACATAAACACCAAATGTTATTGCAAATATCAGTTCAGTCAGAATAAACTCTGTTTCTCCAAAGGTCTTTTGAAACGTCTTCTACGACAGGTAAGATATTGTGTGTTAATAACCTCTCCACAAAACCCCATTTCAACAGCTCAGACCTGTTGCTCTAAGATTTATTATTTGTGTCTTATAAGTGTTTAGAAAGTGAATACAAGTCGAGTAATGCCCTCTGAAAAGATGGAAGTGTGTGTGTGTGTGTGTGTGTGGGGGGGGGGGGGGGGTGCGGTGCATTAGACCCATTAGGACTCAGGTGTCATTTGTTTCAGTTTAATCCGGGAAGTTTATCAGCAGGATAGGAAGCCAGCAGGGAGCTCTGTTCACTTCTACCCCCTGAATCTTCCTTTTTTTAATAGCAGGTGTGATTAACCCACCCTGATGCCTTAGTGGATGCATGCAGTCCCCCTTTTCACAGCAGACATCTTGACATGTGAGAGTAGGAAAAGCACAGGTGTTACTAATACCATTAATCGCTCAGTCCTACGCAGGTGCTCCACTAAGTTGTGACACTGTAAATTAAAACAGCCAGGAACCAAAATGTGAAGCAACCAAATGGACCAACAACTGTTCTGTTTGTTATTTACATCTGTGCAGAAATTTCTGGAGTTTTTCATGAAAGAAAGAGGCATTTTCACCAACAGCCAGTTGTCCTCACAATTATAAAGGTGAACAATTTTTAGGGTGATCTAATTGCAAGACACAAATATGGAATAAAGTTAATGATAATGTGGGACGAGTTATCAATGCTGAAAGCTGCAAAAGTAATCATTTGACTGAACTCATGTAACCCAAAAGGAAAGTTTCAGCAGAAATTTGCTGATTGTAGCCACAATTCTCCTCTCGGTATTACAGTAGTTCTAACGTTATTCTACTAAAATGTGTGCGATTTACATTGAGATTTTGTAATTTACAAAAGTCACACACTTAGTACAACCAATCTTTATGTGACACCTTCTTTGCATTTGAAATCTTCACCACTAAACTTTAAAAGAACAAACATTCTATTGTAGAGTTTACTTATGCACCAGAATAAGTTGAAATGCTT